CCTTTATTCCCGAGATATTCAATTCTCAAGATACATACGAAACGGGACCGAAGTGGAAAATGATCGTTCTTAGAGAGCAGTACAGTACTCAGGTGGAAAATTTTTGAAAGCTTCACGCATTGCTCGTGCTGCCTATTCTGGATTTAGTGCTAGGTCATATCTCATCAGTACCACCTCTACGGGCTGTTCATCGTATCACAGAACATCCAGAATTCTTCATTTCACATCTGATTTCATTATACACTGCAAAAGATTAATGGAAGCAAATAATACAATAGCGATTATCTTTTCATCTTCCTTGCTGGCGTACCAACATGTCTGACTTATAACTATGCGTGTTCCTTTTTTACGTTTCTCTACTTTCTTTCTCCACGTGTTCCTCTCTTTCTTGTCGGAATCATACCACGAGGTTGTTTCTCTCTTCATTCGATTGTTTACGATATACAAGTGACGTACGAGCAAACATCCGATACCAGTTTTCCTCACGCCTTTTTCGAAATGATCAACCCTGCAAATGTTGTGAAGATTTTCGCTGATCGAGCATCGAACTTATTGTCTACTGTGTCGAACAGCGTGACCTCCGCCACTATTGTCACAAATCGTGAATGTGAAGTAACCGACCTGTTGTGCGGTGTGCTGGAATCGATTACTAGCAGCCACTCCCACACCTTAGTCGAAACAACTCTTGATCATGAGTTAGCCGATGACGAATTGATCAGTGATGTCGAGTGCGAAGATACAGATGAAGGAACATGGGATCCCAACTGGAATGATGAGGATGAAGATGAAGAGACGGCGTTGTGCAAACAGTTTTCACTCGATTATATGGCCAAGGCAGTCAAATTCTATAATGAAATTAATCCACAAACTGGAAAACGAAAGAGACGATGGGAGACGGTGAAACACAACTTCCAACGTATCCCGCATCAAACCTATCTCTCGCGCTGGAACTAAGAAACAGAACCTCGAGAAAATCGATGATTATGTATTTGATATATTCGAGCGGGCTCGAGAGAAAGCGCTGCCAGTGCACGATATTGATCTACGACGATGGGCTCTTAAACAGGCTATGGATGAGTCCTTATACAATTTTGTCGCTTCAAAACATTGATTGTACACATTTAAACACAAATACAATATTGTCTCGCGCAAGATAACGAAGGTGAGATATTTGTAACTATTTCTAAGAAATTTTGGGAAGGAAGCTCTCTCCTCTAAAACGAGATAAACATGATAAAAGAAGCATTCCAAGTTGCAGACTTATCGGTTTTGCACAGTCGTCGTTTGCCCTAGGATTCTTTGAAATCAAACCTACTGAATTTATTTGTTTTTGTTAGATTGTGACGAAGCGCCACGTAGAAGATGAAGAGGCGATTAGAACTTCGGCCGATCAGTTTGTAGCCGACGTTCGCAGACGCTTATCTCAGTACGAAGAACACGAAGTTCTCAACAGAGACCAAAGTGAATTCCACTCTACTCGAACATTAAGCCACAGAGGGGAGAAAGTAACAATTGGATCCGTTCAATATTCGCTCGCATCTTTTCAAGACGTAGAATGTGGTGATCACCTGCAGCAGTTCTAGAAAGCTCACAACATCTTTGGTTGAGTACTGGCGCGATCATGTACTCCTTCCGTCACTAGGAAAACATCAAAAGTTCCTGCTCATCTCGGACTGTTGGGGTGGTCAGACATATGGAAAGGGATTATACGATCATATCCCAGGATGCACAAGGCTGGAGATACCGAAAAAAACGACGGATCAAATTCAACCACTGGACGTTTTTTTCAATAGACAGATGAAAGTGATTACTCGTCGGTTATACGATCGTGTGTTACTCGATGAACTTGACAACAACATAAGCGAACGGAATAACATCGTAACATGTTTCAATCACTTTTTTCTGAACTATCATTTTCATTGAGTCACGCTTGTGCGGACTTTTGCAATGTATAATGAAATCAGATGTGAAATGAAGAGTTCTGGATGTTCTGTGATACGATGAACAGCCTGTAGAGGTGGTACTGATGAGATATGACCTAGCACTAAATCCAGAATAGGCAGTACGAGCAATGCGTGAAGCTTTCAAAAATTTTCCACCTGAGTACTGTACTGCTCTCTAAGAACGATCATTTTCCACTTCGGTCCCGTTTCGTATGTATCTTGAGAATTGAATATCTCGGGAATAAAGGCACGAGGGGATAAATCTTCTTGAGGTTTTTCATACCTCATTGAGGTCTACCCATCGCCAAAAGGTGGGACCTAAAGGCTTTAAACACCTGGGGAACTGCCCTCGTCAGTTCTTATTCTTATATATATGCCTGAACTGCTTCATAGTTTTAGTGTCTGCTTTTATTCTTGATAGTAGGAACTACTATTAGTAGGATCCTATCCTCCTGTGTGTTTTCTGTATTCATTGATCTTGTATTTTATTTGTTTTATTTGCTATAATAAACATGTACACTGTTCATATTCTTACACAGTCAGCACAGGATAATGATTCCTCTCTAACAGCGGATTTTGTTTAGCTTCTCCAGATTCCACTAGACATTGGTCTCGGCTTAATCACAGAAGCGTGAGACTGATCTCATCCTCGTGAACATTAGCAAATTTCATCATCGGAGGGCTAACAGCCTTGTCAGACGACGTGAATTAAGTGGTCGTGATTTGTTGTACACCGTGCAGCCGGTTTCCATCCTGCGCATTTTGCTATTGAATGGTATTACAACGTAGAAAAGTCTTTTAGAGTAAATTTCAAATACATATATACTCGTAAAAAATAATTGTAGTGTCGTCTTGCGGATAATTTCGGGGCTCTCAGGAAAATTCTTATAACTCCTTAACGGAACACGCTAGCGAGCTCGGCCTCGCAGATCGAAATAGAACAAATTTCTCTATCGAATGGCTAAATTTTGATTTTCAGTTTCATCATGTTTAACAACTTTATCTCTTACACGTTCATAATCAACCGTTAAATCATGAAATTGTGATTCAAAGTCAAAAGCGGATGGAAAATGTTTCCAATATTTTGTCCAGAACATATCCAATAAAAATTCATCTGGTTAGTAGCTTGACCAATGGAATTTGACATGCGTTTGTTGCCCAGACACTGCTCTTTCGAATGGTTAAAACCGCAGATCTCTATCATGTTCCTATTAAAAGTGGTTCGAGCATTTGCATAAATGATAAGCGATACATATTTCTCTCTGATTATCTGTGTTTTATAAGGCCTTTTGAATGAGATAAACGCACTTCGACTTTTATCCAAGTGTGTAGAAAAACAAAGCACTCTACTGCAAATTCGGTGATGAAATCAATTTTTGACCGGTTATCAAATAATTGTTCTTGCTTTAACTAGACTACGGAAACTATAACGTACCAATAACGAAACAATTCTCTACAAAATGAGATGTCCCCAAGTTCTCTACGATGTTTTTTGACCGGGATACATCAATTTTACGGAAGACCCAAAAGTCACTTTTTTGCGATTTCCTATGGAAAAAAATTGGAAAAACGGCTTTTAGACCCTCCGTAAAATTGATGTATCTCGGCTAAAAAACAATGTAGAGAGCTCGGTGACGCCTCATTTTGTAGAGAATTATCTGCTCTATCATTCTATGCAGTTTAAACAAACTTATATTTGCGGGTTCTAGATGCTGAAAAACTAGGGTTTGGATTTTCTAAAGATCCCTTCTTCAGGAGTAAAGTAATCTTTTTTGACTTTCTCGGATCCTTATTGAAAGCAATTTTCTCTATTCAAATCACTATTTAGATTCCTTTCAGCATTTAGGACTACGGAAAAAAATCGAAATTACACCCGTTGGATAATATTGACGGTCACTGTACGTTCGCCGCAGGTGGACTGGAAGTTTTTTGGGGGTAGGGATTTATCGTAAGCTCTACTGGAGAAGAACGACTGTTTTCCCAATATGGGGAGGAGGGGTGCCCTCCCCTCGCGATACCCCTGACGCGAAGCCCACGCGCCTGTATTAGAGCAGTCATGTTTCTTCCTGGGAGGGCATTTCTAATATGGGGGGACGCTTGCATTATGGATGCACTTGTATTATGGGGGGGGGGGGGGGGGGGGGGGGGGGGGGGGGGGGGGGGGGGGTGGGGGGGCGAGGCGAGGGCGGCTGGGGAGTTGTAGGTGTGGTAGGCGGA